TAATAATAATAATAATAATAATAATAATAATAATAATAATAATAATAATAATAATAATAATAATAATAATAATAATAATAATAATAATAATAATAATAATAATAATAATAATAATAATAATAATAATAATAATAATAATAATAATAATAATAATAATAATAATAATAATAATAATAATAATAATAATAATAATAATAATAATAATAATAATAATAATAATAATAATAATAATAATAATAATAATAATAATAATAATAATAATAATAATAATATATGGCTTAGTGAGTGAAATAATAGAAACCGAAGCAGAATATAATATACTAAAGTTCAAAACTATCATCAAATTTAAATTATACTTTTGTTGTAGTATTATCAAATTTTCATTAAAAAAAATCGGTAGTATAGGTAGTTTCAGTATATTATCCAAATACCTAATTATAGAGAATACTATTATTTGTTTTTCATTTTTTATATATATTATATGCCAAATTAAGCTAACTTTTCATGTCCTCTACAAATGAAAACCATAATCCACATATTTCATCCTTGCCATTTCAATCAAGAAATGTCCAAAGTTAATAATAAAAATATGTCGAATAATAAATTTTTCTTTGGATTAATTTATTATTCACATGTAAGACTTCATAATTACCACATGTTTACCATCACAGACGCGTATAAAAACCGACCAACTATCAATTGTCCTTTGGGTAAATTGATATTCGCATGGACAAACATACACATAAATCAGAAAAATATCTAACCTTTTTTTCATAAGCAATCGTTAAAAAAAAGGTCATTTTGACGACTCTTTTATTTCAACTACTTACTTAAAAATATTAAATTACTGTATAAAAAAATACATTTCGTAGTCAAATTCAAACAAAATTGAATCAAAGAAAATTTGAAATTAAATCCAAATAAAAAATATCAATGCATTTTATTGTATAGTTACAACATTGATACTAAGTTTAGTTTTAAAATATAAAATCACATATATTATTTAAAATAAATAAAAAATATAAAATCACATATATTATTTATAATAAATAAAAAATAAAAATTATATATAAAATCACATATCTTAATAACATTATTTTTTATTATATATATATATATATATATATATATATATATATATATATATATATATATATATATATATATATATATATATATATATATATATATATATATATATATATATATATATATATATATATATATATATATATATATATATATATATATATATATATATATATATATATATATATATATATATATATATATATATATATATATATATATATATATATATATATATATATATATATATATATATATATATATATATATATATATATATATATATATATATATATATATATATATATATATATATATATATATATATATATATATATATATATATATATATATATATATATATATATATATATATATATATATATATATATATATATATATATATATATATATATATATATATATATATATATATATATATATATATATATATATATATATATATATATATATATATATATATATATATATATATATATATATATATATATATATATATATATACACACTAGACATGTTGCTTGCAAGGATTGCTACCAAATTAAGCTAGGTCTCAAACTCAAGACATGTTGCTCACAAGGAGTGCCCTTTCCATGCTTAATTTTGTTGTAAATTTTTTTGCATCATACATAAGAACCATCAGATTTAAAAAAAAAATGTTGAGATTAAAAGATATTTTTAATAATTTTTAATTCCTCTTAATGACACATGATTTAGTAAAAATCATGATTTAATCTCAATATTTCTTTTTTAAATTTGATGGTTCTTATTCTTTCTCACATTCTGAACAAAAAAATCCGATGATTTTAAAATATATTTGAACCATTCGATTTTAAAATAAATTGTGGAGATTGTGTGTCAATTTTTCTCTCTCTCATCAATCATTTATTTTAAAAATGGAAGAGAGAGAAACAAAAACCACACATGATCTCAACCATTTATTTTAAATTCTTATGGTTCAGATTTATTCTCAAGTTATTATATAAAAATGACATTCTTATTGGATATTCTCTCTCTCTCTCTCTCTCTCTCTCTCTCTCTCTCTCTATATATATATATATATATATATATATATATATATATATATATATATATATATATATATATATATATATATATATATATATATATATGTATATATATATATATATATATATATATATATATATATATATATATATATATATATATATGTATATATACATATATATATATATATATATATATATATATATATACATATATATATATATATATATATATATACATATATATATATATATATATATATATATATTATATATATATATATATATATATATATATATATATATACATATATATATATATATATATAATATATATATATATATATATATATATAATATATATATATATATATATATATATATATATATATATATATATATATATATAATATATATATATATATATATATATATATATATATATATATATATATATATATATATATATATATATATATATATATATATACTATATATATATATATATATATATAATATATATATATCTATATTACTTGTCATTTTATTTATTTGATTTCAATTTATTTATTTATTTCAGTTTATTTATTAAATTTCAGTTTATTTATTTATTTTAATTTATTTATTTATTTTCAGTTTATTTATTTATTTTAATTTATTTTCTTATTATTATTTTATTTTATTTCAGTTTATTTATTTATTTTAGTTTATTTATTTATTATTATTTTAATTAATTTCTGTTTATTTAATTATTATTGTTTTATTTAATTTTATTTATTTATTTATAAATGTTTACTATTTATTTATTTAGTTTTATTATTTTATACAAACGTTATTATGTAATGTATTTCTAGTAGTATATATAGTGTTAATTTTTAGTGTTATTTTTATTATATAATTCTTTTAATTTGAATTTATTATAAATGATTGTTTAATAATTATTTATTTAGTTTGATATTTTTATTATATATTTATATTACTTTCGGTTTTAATAAATATTAATATTGTAAACTGAAATTAAATAGTTCTTATTTATATAATAATGTTAAATATATATTATAGCATATTTAAAAAATTAAAATTAAAAAATTAGAAATTAGTATTTATTTATGTATTATAACATTAATATTAATTTAGTTAAAACGTTAAAAAAAAATAGTTTCGTTTAAATTAATATTAGTTTAGTTAAAACATTAATATTAATTTAGTTTATTAAAGTGTTACTGTATTGGACTGGGTCAGAGGCTGGTCCATCGTCGGTCACGATCAATCCAGCTCCTCGTCGAGGAGGGCCCAACAAAGGCACAATCCATCATCCTGCACGGGAAACGCTCTTCACTCGTCTTCCCTTGCTCCCCACGCGGGGACACGTTATCAGCCAACTACCCATGATTTTCGGGTGACAGTTTCGCCCTCAATAACAGGTCATCCACCTCTCGAAGTCCATGGTGTAGTTGATCCAGGACGAAGACCATGTGCTGGTCTTCCCTACTCCACATAGATCCTATCATTTATCCGTGGTGGGCCTAAAGATTCAACCCGATGCAGATAACCGTTGGTCCAACACTAGGGGCTCATTATAAATACCTTCTTCCAGATGAGGGTCAGGTATTCTAAACACAGTAGCTTTTTGTACTTTCTCTCTTTCACTCCCTTTCTCATTTTGGCATCAGAGTGTCTTACAGGTACACCCCCTCCTCTTCTCCACCACCGGTGATTAGAAGCTCACGACGTGTTGCTGGCTGCTGATCCTCTTTCTGATCCGGTAATATCAGTGTCGCCGTCTGTGGGAACCTTTTACTTCCCCGTCTTTTCTTCCTCCAAATTCAAAGGACCAAAGCAAATCTCCAACTTCTCTCGATCATGGCCAGCCAACATACTGATGATAATGTCCGAGAAACTGCCTTCACCACCTTCGCTGACAACAACGTGACACCCGCTGTTGAAGAATGTGACCCTAGGGACGGGCACACCGCCTCTCCCTCCCCCGACGATGCGGCCTTCAACACTGCGTAACGTTTCGAGAGTCTGGTGGTTTTCCAGCCGATTGTTGTGTCGCCCAACACTGATCCGACCATGGTAGCCTTGTTAGCAGTGATTAGCTAGACAAACCTGATATTTTTCTAGCAGAACGAACGCATCGGGATGTTGGAGAAAGATCGATAGTCACGCTCTCCCCCGTGGAGATATCGGCAACAGGTTTCTCATAACTCGTCCCCGCGATGACGAGAAACTTGTCCCTACTCTCCCCCGCGGAGAGACCAAAGGGAAGAATCTCAGAGCCCCTCACCGCGACAACTCGTACGTAGGCCGCGACTGGAGAGGCCACAAACCGCGATCACCCAGAAGCGGGATCGCCCCCCTCCTTGAAAGGAACACCGTTATCCGGCTCCAAAAAGGAACAAAGTCGGCGGACAGCCAAGAAGCTAAAGGGTTGACCAAGGAACTCGCAGCGCCGCGACAAAACCCCCTAACACGACCGCTCCCCATTGCGCTCACTAATCCGAAGCGACGAACACGACCCCCGCGATCCCCTGTCCCGGACAGTTATGGAGGCCCCCATCCCCGTAGGGATGGAAAAACCACCGAGTCTGACAAACTACGATGACACGACGGACCCTGACGACCACAATAAAAACATCGACGTGATTGAATTAAATAAAGAACTAATATTAAAACTAATCCTTGATTTCAATATCAAACCATTTGGATTATCAAATAACAAAATTCTAAGTTACCTATAGTTGGCATAGCTTTTTTATGATGGCACCTAAAACTTGTAACAAGTGAGAGAAGTTTTGTTAACTATATTTTGCATTTGACTTATTAAGTTAGAGAAAAACACCATCTTCATTTGCATCTATGGCTAAACCCCATCACCTCATTCTCATTCTCCTCCTCTTCGCTATTCTTCAATCTTCTTCTCCCTTCGTTTCTGCTTCACCCTCAAATCACATCTACAACGTTGGACAAAATGTCCCATTTTTCGTCAACAAACTAGGACCCTTCAACAATCCCAGGTCACTTTCCTTCCTTCACTTCCATTTTCATTCAATTTTCATTTTCATTCAATTTCTGATTATATCATTCTCTTTTACAGTGAAACATATCAATACTATCAATTACCATTCTGCAAACCAGGTAAATTACTCTAATTAGGTTTCAATTTTTATCTTGTTCAAAAATCAGAATTAAATTATTAAGGGGTTTTTGAAAAAGGATTTGTTTTTCACAGACCCAATTGTGAAAAAGAAAGAATCTCTTGGTGAAGTTCTCAATGGGGATCGTTTGACAAATGGGTTGTATGAGTTCAAGTTCAGGGAAGACAAGATTGATGAAACATTGTGTCAAAAGAAGCTTACAATTGATGAAATTGGAACCTTTAAGCAAGCTATAAACAGTGAATTTTACTTCCAGTTTTATTTGGATGATCTTCCATTTTGGGGGTTCATTGGGAAGGTTGAAGATGAAAGCTTGACTCATAGTGGGGGAGGATCAAATTATTACCTTTTTACACATGTTCAATTTGATGTTCTTTACAACGGGCACCGAGTTGTGGAAGTAAAAGCATTTGGTGATCCGAATCGAGCGGTAGATATAACCAAAGATGTTGACATTGATAATGTTAAGTTCAGTTATTCTGTTATCTGGAATACAACTGACCTACATTTCGAGAATAGAATGAAGAGATACTCGAGAACTTCGTTGCTGCCTTTGTATCGTCAAGTTCATTGGTTCTCTTTCATTAACTCCGCTGTCATCATTTTGCTTTTGGTTGGTTTGCTTGTCCTGCTTTATTCAAGACACTTGAAGAGTGATATAAAAAAGTAACTTTGTTCTCTCTCTCTTTTTTGTTGTTGATAATTTTACAAGAGTTGAATTGTACTAAGCTATTTTTATTTGTTAGGCTAACTATCTTTGTTTTACGATTTAGGTATTCTAGTGCAAACGAAGAAGATAGGGAGGTTGGTTGGAAGTCAATTCAGGGTGATGTATTCAAACATCCTCCAAACTCGTCCTTATTGTTTGCTGTTGTGGGAACGGGTACCCAATTGCTAATCTTGTAAGCTACTTTAGTGTTTGAATTTTAAATGCATACTCAAGACTCTTTAAATGGCATTGTTATGCCAACGATATAAGAAGGCGTGCGATGTATAGTTTTATCTCTGCACCAACCAACCTATGTTCTTAATCAACCAAATCCTTTAGCAGTAGTCTAAATGTAGACTACCAAGTGTTAGGAAAGGCCCCAAAGCACTCTTTTTTCTAATGATTTATGCTTTCACTGATCTCTTTGAAGGACTTATTGAAGTCTCAAAAAATAGAATTGATTAAATGGAGTGTAGCGTAAATCTTAGAGGTAGAAAAATTCCAACAAAAAAAACTTTTAAATTTTACTTTTTTATCATTAGACATGATTTGTAGTATATGTTGTTTGATCCAAAAAGCCAATGTCCCACCTAGTGAGAAAATGCTTTTGTTGTCGTTGTAACCAGAGGGCATTGTTGTTAAACAACGGCTCTATAGGCTCTAGAGCATAGCAGAAATTAAATAAACCACTATTGTTTTCCAATGCATTATTTAGTACAAAATGCATTCAAATAGTGGCTACGGTGCTCTATAGCATTGTTGCGCAGTGGGATTTGAACAAACTATTTCTGCAATCCGCAAGACAACACTGCCAGAGAAAGACTTTGTTACTCGTAAGGAAGTCAATAAATTCACCTATAAAGGTGATTTATACAAAATCTTTGACAAGTAGTTTTCGACCATAATTATGTATTGCTTGAATGTATCTTTGTCATGGATACAATTCCTCTTTAATAATTGAATGTTTGTTCTACTCTCACTCTTGATCTCTGCCCTCAAAGACATAGTCTAGAATGCATGTTATTATACAACAATCAGATTGGTTTAGTTATCTAGATTAGCATACATCAATGTCATTATCATTGTTCATTTGTGTAACATGAGAAAAACAAACTACAAGTAAACTGTTAGGATATAGAATATAGAGGAATTAGAATAGTAAGGGGAATATCATTGAGTCGTGTAAATATTTAGTATTAGAGCAATGGCTCTGTTGTAAAAGGGAAAACTCTTGGAGGAGAGATCTATGTCCTATATTCTCTTTATTCTTTCTCAATCTTTCAATAAATTAATTCTTTCTTTTCCATTTAATTTCTGTGTTCCCAAGATAAACTTGTTAACTTTTAACTTTGTTTCCTCTTTAAACTAATATGCACTTTTTTCAGGCTTTGTGTCATATTGTTCCTAGCATTTATCGATACCCTCTATCCATACAATCGTGGCGGACTCTCAAATTGTCTTGTCTTTCTATTCACTCTTTCATCTGTTTTTGCTGGTTACTCAACAGCATCCTTCCATGGCCAATTTGCTGAAGATGGATGGGTAATTTACTTCTACAAGGAAAATAAATTGTTCCATTTTTTATTTTATTTCTAGCTTACTTAAATATAAAATGTTTCATGACTATAATTCCAGGAGAGGAGTGTTGGTCTAGCTGGAATTCTTTACATTGGACCAGTGTTTGTTACGGTCTCTATCCTCAACATTATTGCAATATCTTACAGGGTTACGGCGGGACTCCCATTGGGCTCCATTCTCGTTATTCTTAGTTTATTTGTATTTGTTGCAATCCCATTGCTTGCATTTGGAGGATTGATTGGATACCGTCTTAGGTCTAAGTTTCAGGTCCCCTCTGCTACAAAGAGATATCCTAAAGAGATTCAACAGCTTCCTTGGTACAGGAGAACACCGTTTCAAATGTTTATTGGAGGTTTTGTGCCGTTTAGTGCAATTGTCCTGCAATTACATCAGGTGTATGCTAGTATGTGGGGATACAAAATATACACTCTTCCTGGTATTTTGGTTGCCACACTCATCACCGTTGTCGTGATTATTATGCTCGTAAATATTGGCTTGACATACATTCAACTATCCGAGGAAGACCATGATTGGTGGTGGAGGTATGTTGTGTTGCCGACATCATCTTGTATAACGTTTATAATGTTTATATATATTGTCCCTTCAGTACGAGACTTTCTATCTATTTATTTACTTGTTTTGTGTGCAGATCTGTGCTCTGTGGTGGTTCACCAGCCATTTTTATGTTTGCATATTGTATCTACTTCTATGCAAGATCAAGAATGAGTGGATTCTTACAACTATCTTTCTTCATTGGCTACAATGCATGCATATGCTATGCTTTCTTCTTGATATTTGGAGCCATCAGTTTCCGAGTTTCGATGCTATTTGTTCGCCATATATACCATAATGTTAAAAGGGAGTGAGTCATCAATGTCAATCACAAGCAACATTGGTTACCATTGATGAACTCTCCCTTTGGAAAGTGAATTCTTCAACAAGGACATTTTGTGCTCAATTTGTATGCTCTATTGATGACTAAATACTGGACATTTTGGAAGAGCTTTGGGGTAAGAGATGAGTGGAATCATAGAGGATAGCTTGTTAGATTTGGAAACATGGTGCATTAAGCTTCAAGTTGTTTATGAAGAAGCCAACATGTATTTTGTTCGACGATGACTAAAATTGTTTTTCATTGAATTGATTATGTAACATTTAGTTTAGTCAATTGTGAGTTTCTAGTAAAATGAAAGTGAGTAAAACAATTTGTGTAGAAATCACGTGGCAAAAATTACAAATTGAGTTGCCTGCTCTGTTCATCTTTTGAAGCTAATAAATCATCTCAAACTTACAAACTTGTAAATCAAAGATACAACTAATCATTTCTTAGGAACTGCACACAATCTAAATAAAATATTTTTTTACGAGCCAGAGGATAAAATATTAAGAGAAATTCATTTAGAGTAGATTATGTGAACCGGGAAACCTAACTAGCAAAATGAATATAATTGAATAACAAATGACAATGTAACAAGCAAAACTATAAGATATTTGATGATGAATTCCACTAGTACTGATTTAGGGAGGTGAAATTACAAAGTGGAGCATTAAATCTGAAATGCAGTATTTACAAGAGAATAACAAAACTCTTTGCACACTTATGGTAGAAGAAAGCCACTATATGCATGTGTATAGAAAGTTTTTCATATTAGAGAGTGGATGAAGTTCTTGATTTCTGAATCTTATCATCCTCTGAAGGAGGTGATGATTGTGCTGCATGGTAAGATGAAGAAACAAGTTGTGCTAAAGCAGGAACAGCCCCACCTGCATTTATTTAAGAGAGAAATTGTTATCAACTCAACAACACAGTAAATCCAATGTTGTCAATCACAAGAAAAAAATGGTTTGTTCAAATTATGCTATTATAGTGCTATATAGGGCTGGCAATGAACCAAACCAACTCGAAGATAGTTCGGAATTCGACTCGACAATTAAATCGTTGAACTAGGTTCATGAACCAAATGAGTTGAGTATGAGCGAAAAATTAAGTTCGTTAACTAAATGAGCTGAACTTGAACTATACATAGTTCGACTCGTTAGGTTCATGAGTCAACTCGATTACATATGAAAAGAATTATACTGTCTTTAAGATTAGGTTTAAATATTTACTTCAAATCTTAGACAAATTTAATCTTCAATTTAGTAGTTTTTGAGTTAGACTCTCAAATGTATCTCTTGAAAGTTGTGTAGGTTTTGAATTAGTAGATTTCGAAGATAAAGTTAAATATCAATATGATAACTTTTATTTTATTTTAATATTTTATTTAAAAAATATATATTTATTTAAAATGTCAAATATACTAAAAAATATATATATTTTAAAAAATAGTTTTTAAGTTCGTGAACCATGTGAGCTGAACCTAATGAGATGAACCTAACGAGTCGAATCGAACTGTTCGTGAACTTATAACGAGTCGAGTTTGAGCTTAAAAAAAAGTTCGTGTCGAACTCGAACTCGAACTCGAATTCGAACAATTCTTAACGAGTCGAGCCGAGCTGAGGTGAGTTCGACTCGACTCGACTCATTTCCAGCCCTAGTGCTATATCACTGCTATTTGACAACACTTCGTAGTAAATTGCATATATCAGTACAATAGCTTTTTATTAAAATTCTGTGCACTATAGTGCTATAACTGCTATTTTTAAAATTCTGCTGCACTATAGTGCTATAGCTGGTATTTGAGAACACTGAGTAAACCTATATCACATGGGTAAGATGACAAATAGAAAGCTTAGCACTTATTCTTGAACTTGTCTGAAACTTTAGGTGCTGTGTGTGAATCTTATTACCCTACCAAGTTAAGCATGGTTCAACTTTGAAATTAAGAGTAAAGAATGCACATTTATACTATTAGTATATAAGCCAAACAAGATAAGTAAAATACAATCAAAGGGGTTCACCTGCCAGTCCTGCGCATACTGAGGAGAATACTATCACAGGTGGTGTCTGAAATCAGAGTGTTCAATCAGTTTGATGGTATTAACAAACTAGTAAGTGTTGCTGAAATAAGAAAATCTCCTAGTAGGTTTCTGCTCTGTGTAAAAGTTCTACCATAGTGGACACCGATGAATTCTATTTCAGATATTCCACTATGTAAAAGATATCCATATAAACCAAACATGAGAGCAGGCATATATAAAATGAGTTCAGCAGCAGAAGAATAAATTTAGAGATAGCCTTGACTCATTGATAATTTGGTAATATAAAAGCATACATATTACTGTTAGGACAACCAATGATTTTTGCATCAGAACAGGATTGATCCAAATGGAACCAGATATGGTTATCTAAGTTTGTGGAGACAGTATCTTAAGTGTTTTTTTTGAAACGGTGGCTAAAATTTCCTCTTGGGGAAAATTCAAAGCCAGGGGAAAGTGCAATAGACAGAAAAATGGTGTGTGTACAGTATTCATGAAGAAAATAGAGTGATATATGTAAGAGAAGAGGTTTTTTATTTTTAGAACAAGATATAAGTCGACTTACTTCTGTGAGGGTTGAAACAACTAAACGACCTTTAAACATAAAAGAGAAAGCAAGGGTGTCTAGGTCACATCAGGAGTGCTCTCTAAATATCGTATTTGAATCTGCCGCAGACACTGCCTTCACGCAGTCACACAGTAAGATTTTATCAGCCATTAAATTTTGATCTGATGATCAGAAACAACAGATTTTTATAACTACAAAAATAACCAACTTAAAATCAAGACCGTCTGATGTTAATCAGACAACTACTATTGCATGACTGCGTGATTGTGGGCTTTTCCGAATGCAGCGAATCTTGATCCAAATAAGAGAACATGAAGGGTAGAGAGCATCTTTTGTGAAGGGGAAGCCCTTGAGAAGAGATTCTATCCTATTTCTTCATAAAATTATTATTTTCTTGGAATCCAATTCTGGGGTTCCTAACAGTTTAGGATCCTTAATCTAAGAATTTAAATCTAGTGAGTGAAATATGTACCTCAAGAAATCATTAAGTATGAAGAAAAGGTATATACTCCCTCCGTTTTTTATTATAAGTCATTTTGGACTTTTCACACGTATTAAGAAAAGTAATTATTGTTGTATGAAAATGGGAAATTATGAATATTTTTACAAAATTATTCTTCATTAATGACATGGAAAAGATAAATTTACATAATTAAAAAAGAGATAATAATAAACTTTTAAGGATATAATAGGAAAAATAGCATTAATTATTTATTGGTAATGTAAAATGACTTATATTGTGGTGTAAATTTTTTTCTAAAATGACTTATAATAAAAAAACGGAGGGAGTAATAAACAAGCAAAAAGAAAAAATGGAAAAGGGATACATATAGTGGGAAAACTGATGAAATAAATGAAAAAAAGGGATCAAAAGGCTCAAGATACTTACACCAACGAGAAAATGTACCCACATCGGTCCTTTTACCCATCTATGGACAACTGGCATAACTGCATTTATGAATAATTAGTCTACGTCGTTAAATTAACAAAAACAATGTCAATAAAGCTTCATACTATCAGTTTGGAATATGAACAATTTCTGCAATTACAGTATAGAAACAATCAAACTTACACATTCCTTTTCATGTTATAATGTAAGGCCACAAAATCCCCAACTAAAGCTTGAATGCAGTGCATCTTAGCTGTTTTACTGACGGTATTTTAAGTTATCAAATAGACTAAATCAACAAGATAAATTAACACTCTACTAGGGTGTAGCTTTGATTTAAAATAAAAAATTATAGTAATTGTTTTGAGCCGCTCACAAGACCCAAAGCAACAGACCTAAGAGCCCCATCAGGCAGTAACGCGCATGGTTCAGGTGATCCCTCATTCTTCTTGGAACAGACAATTCCACCCTCTAGGCGCATCGATTACCGTCTAATTAGATCCAACGGCTACCCGCACAACGCTCCTCGCCTCAAACGGACGGCTTTAACCCCTCTCACTATATAAAGAAAAAAACGCATCATTTCAGGTATTCAAATTCATTCTCACTCTCACATTACTTATTATTCTCTCACTGACTTGGGCATTGGAGTACTATCCATGTAAGTCATCCCTTCCTCCACTGCACCGGAAGCACAAATTCACCGCAACAAGACATTATCTCGTCATTTCACCGATCATCTCTAGTTCTAAACCGAACAGTAATGATCACAAAATTTTGTGCATTATTATATCAACATATTTTTTGCATTCTTGAAACATGAATTACCCTTTAGTGCACCACACTAAGCTACCATCGATATAGCACCAACACTTTAGAATGATGGTGCGTCTAGTGCCTAACATGTGTTGATTTAGGACACCGGCAAGACACCAACCAATGTTGTCAATAGTGGATTTCAGAAAATAGCAGTTAAATCAAATTCTACTACTCTAGAGAGTTATAATCAAACTTAGGACTAAATCACATATTACAGAACAATAACAGTTGGTTAAAATTCTGCTATGCTATAACACTATATCTGCTATTTGAGAACATGTGTGTGCTTCATTGGCAACCATATCAAACTGATGCATCACAACACATTACATATTTAAGTATGTGTATAAATAACATAAAAACACATACCATGATTGAATCCATAGAATGCACTTGTGGTGCCACCAACAGCAGAACCAATCTACAAAAGAAAAAAAAACAATTAAAAAGCCAAAAAAGACCTATACAAAAAATCAAACAACTTCCACAGTTTTATTAAAAATGGAGTTCCATAGTTTATCACAAAATCAGATCCAAGCCTCAAAATTAAACCAGAAAACGGGCAAAAAGATTGATATTGAGAATTTTACCATAGAAAAGCTATCCCTAATAAGAGGCGCAACGGTCCACTTACTGGTTTCCTGCAACAAAACAAAAATTGAAAAGAGGAATGAAATCAAGAAGGAATTGAAATTGAACTGAGAGAAAAGAGATGAAGTTGGGAAGTGGAAGATACCATCTCTTTTGAAAGGGGACCTGCGCAATGATGGCATCGAATGTTTTTATCGGAAGCCATTGATTTTCTGTTCTGCTTCCAGAAAAAACAAGAAGCTATGGTTTCGCTACGCAGAGAAGAAGCAAAAACTTTCTCAAATTATAATTAGGGATGCTGATTTTGATGCTCCTCAATTATATCCCTTAACAATTTTTTTTATGCTACCCTAATTTCATGTCAATTTTACTAATAACTTTTTTCTATAAATGTCCTATAAAAAAACTTCTTTTTATAAATTTTAATGTGTTAATTTTTTTTTGTTATGATAAAAATCATATTTCATTTGTTAAAAAAAAGTTATACGACTACTTTGTTTTATTTTGTAAAAACAAATAATTTTGATTGAAAAATACATTGAATATTTGTCAAAATAAATAAATTAAATTATATATTTTGCATAAAGAAATTAACAACATAAAAATATTGTTAGAAATTAAAATTATATAATATATCAGCAATGTTATATTTACTCCAATATAAATGCACTATTCATAAATACGGTAAACAATATCATAACTAGTGATCAGTATAAGAACAATTTATGAACATTACCATGTGAATAATACACATGTGCGTAGACATATTCCGTAAATAGTATTTGTGCATAATGCATGAATAGTAATTTTTATAGTAGAACAAAGTTGATTAATGAAAGGTAAAATATTGATTAATGAAGTGATAATGTTGGTTAATAAACGCTCAGATATTAAAAATAGTTTTTAGTAGTAAAACAAAGTTGGTTAATGAAAAAAAATCGGTTAATGAAGTGATGAAGTTGGTTAATAAACGTTAAGATATTAAAAATAATTTTTAGTAATAAAACAAAGTTGGTTAATAAAATGTGAAATGTTGGTTAATAGAATTATGTAAAATTATGAAGTTGGTTAACCACATAATTTTATATTGATGCCCCTTAATATATATATATATATATATATATATATATATATATATATATATATATATATATATATATATATATATATATATATATATATATATATATATATATATATATATATATATATATATATATATATACACACACACACACACCATGTCTCCACACACACACATACACACATATAATAATATTTCATTGTTCACCGTATTGATGAACAGTGAAATACGATGTAAGTGTAAGAATATAATTTTTTATAATATATTTGTTTTACGGTTGGAAATGGCGGTGTTAAAAAATCATTCATTGACATCTCAACTATGTTGTCACTTAAACCCCAAGGGTTGACCTAGTGGTGGAGGCTTAGGTCTTGAGAGTGTGTTTCTTTCAAGATCTCAGGTTCGAATTCTGCTAGATGTAATTAAGTCTTGTGTTGGGTCAGTCCATACGAAACATTGCTCTGACTTTAAACGGGCCCCCAGCTAGTGGATGGCGGAATTGATCCTCTTGGATTAGCCAGTCACAAGGTCGGATACCAAGACCTCAAAAAAAACTATGTTGACATTTCAATGAACTATCAAAGTCATTTTCAAGAATAAGTCTTTATTCAAATATCTGTTGAAAAAACACTATAGTAGGATTTTTTTATAAGCCTTCCTTTGTTAAGATTTGCTTATGCAAACCACATGAATCAAGCTAAAACGACGACTTGAATGATCGTAACACTAAAAGAATTAAAGAAGGTGAGACAATCTTTTATGCTTAATCAATCATGCTAGTGAAAAAAGCAATATAGTGATTAATACCTACAAGAATACGGTTAAAGGATAAAAGATGAATGAATAAGAAGATAAGTCACAATGCACACAAGCAGGAAACAATATGAATAAAGCAAGTGATATTAATAGAGGACTACATATCGAAGAGGAGAAGTTTGGTGAGTATGATTCTCCAAAATTCATTCTCTCAAAGATGAAGGAAAAAAAGGAACGTGAAACCATGGAGACATGGCGTTATAGTCAAAATGTTGCACAGAAGAATCAGATAAAAAAAACACTAAAAAACAAGCTTCAACAAATATGGGCGAGAATAAGAGTTCTAAACATAATGGATTTGGAGAAAGAATACTATTTATTCACCTTTACAAGTGAAGAAGATCAATATTCTGCACTGATAGAAGGCTCATGGCTGATATACGACCATTATCTTTTAGTTAGATAATAGAGTCCAAGTTTTATTCCTTCAAGTGATGTTATTGAACAAATTGTTATTTAGATTGGATCTATGGATTATCAATTAAGTATTATGATGATAGGGTTCTTACTTTCATTGATGATCGCATAGATATGACCGTTAAAGTGGATAAAAACACATTTACACGAGAAAGAGAGGAAAATACGCAAGATCGTGCATTTAAGTTGATCTGACTAGACATCTCTTAGCGATGTTTTATATCAATGGCACACACTATAAGATGGAGTATAAAAGACTACATCTTTTATGCCTAATTTGTGGTAGATTTAGACATTCCACTGAGGGATTTGTGAATAGACGGGAAGTTGCAAACACTATAAAAGAGAAATTGGGACCTTGGACTATAGTGCAAAAGACAAGAAGGCCATGTAAAAACAAAATAAATGATGAAAATAAAATAGAGAATTGTGGTTTCAAGGAAAGGGGAGTGCAACTCGGTGGTGAAAGGATAATCCTGACAAGCAAATCAAGGGATCACAATTCATTACTCTTAAGGAGAAAAATGTTAATATCATTATCGATGAGTAATATATTGGCAATAATGAAAGGAATCAAATGCAAAACAAACTTACGAGGTTTGACGTGGAAGAAAACATGCAAAATTTAAATAAACCACTATATTCTGAACATGTTAAGGAGAGAGATGGAAGTCTAAAAAAGAAAAGAAAAAAAAAACAAAGAATAATAGTGCAACTTCGGTTATAAGATTATGTGAGTATAGTGAAAGAGAAAATTAAAATAGATGTGTAGTATCCCGATATTTTAATATACAATATTTAGATTCTTTTAGTAAATTTTTGTGATCTATTATTTATACGATTTTGTATGATTTTCTTTAATTATTTATAATTATCGACATATTTTAATTATTTATTTATAAATAATTATTATCATAAATTAATAATATTATGATGAATTTTCTTTAATTATGTCTTCACTATGTTATGATAACTTTGTATATATTTATTGAATTTAATACTTAATATTAAGTGTCAACAATATATTTGTTATTTTAATATTTTTAATTATTTTATAAATTTGATAGTATATCAATCGAGTATTTTAATAAACAATATAAATATGTCTTTATGTCAATTGAGTTTATAATTTTATTTTAAAAAAATGATATGCTAAACTTAATTTTGATAGAAATTAAAAAAAGTGTTTTATTATTATTATACTATATTAATGTTTGTTATACAGGGTATTTTTAAAAAATAGGAGGAAAGAGAAGTGTTTAAGAGCATAAATATCAATGTCATGTCATCTTTCTTTCACAAAAACCAAAGCCTTTTTGTGAGAAATTGATGGATGTTTGAAAATTTTAACTGTCATTTAATTTGCCAACGTTGTTCTGCAAGAGAACGTTTCTCATTACTTCTTAACCATTAAAGTTGAATTAAAAATTATATATAATTAAATGTAAAGTATTTGGTGGGACCCATTTTAGAGTTTTTGATGGATTGTATGGATATTTAAAAAATATAGTTGGGTTGTTTAGAAAATATTAAAGTGGAATATAATATAAAAAATTACGTGGACCCCATCTAAAGAATCAAAGTGAGGATAATGAGTGTGGATGCTCCCAGTTAGAAGAAAAAAATGCAGCATGAAATCAATTGCATCCATTTAAGTTTCCAGTGTCTGTTACATATACCTATACTTTTATGTCGTTTTGTTTTCCTTAAACTATGGGGTTAATATAATTGTGAGTGATCAAATGTTTATCATGTTGTTTCAAACGTAATGATAATTATTCTACATATTGTTTATCATATTTCCTCCATATTAAATTTATACCATTATTATTAAGAGATTTTAGCGTTAATCTTTTATTATGTTAGAAGACTCAACTTTAAGTTCAAACGTAGAGTTCAGCCGTCCAAATGACTTAAAGATTATTATCAATATTATTAATAGCATGTAAGATTTTTGGATTAATTATTTTCTTTCAATTGTAATATTGTATTGAGTTATCCAATATTTAGCTTAGGCCTATTTAACTTAAAAGAACCCTAAGTATTTAAGTGTTGTTTTTAGATTTGGAAACTTTTATGAAATGAGATAAGTTGTTTTTTATGTTCTTCTTCCTTAACAAACCTAGATTTAGTGTAAGCTAGTGCAGAATCTATCGTTTGGTGTTTTCATTCTTCATTCATGGCCCATCATAAACCTTAAAACCTTTTTTCTATAGAAATAGTAGAAGGAGTTATTCACACTCCTTAATTACTCTTAGATAATGCTATGCAACAAACCCAACTCCAAATGGATGAAAGGTTTGCCAAAGTCGCAACAGATTGGGAGCAGCAGATGAGACAGATTCATGCAGGTATGGATAATGACAAACAAATCGAAGACAGTAGATATGAATCAATCATGTCCATCCTCAATAAGTTAACAACTCACAAAGAACAACCACCACTGACTGCTAATGTTCATACATCAGTCAACTCCTCAGGTATAACCCATGAACCCTCCTCTACACCCACTGCTCACACCATCCATGTTATAACCCCCTACCACTGCTAATATTCCCATGCGCATTTATGCATCTGTTTCCACAACCCTACCACAAACCATTGTCACAACAGCCACAATAAATACTGCTCCACCACCCCCTTATTACCCATAACACTTCACCTCTCCACCCCTTTTACACCCATCCCAAATTATAACATTCCATTGTTTCCCCAATTCTCTTACCCTCACATGCCACAAATTCCACCATTACTCCTTTTTAGAACTCCAAAATTGGAACTTGCTATGTTCGATGGTTCAAACCCCCTGAATTGGTTATTTCAAGCTGAACAATTTTTCAATTTTTATTAATTGCCATAAGAAAATAGATTATCGTTAATTGCTTTTT